CGAACACCACCTCCGCCCCGGACTGGCCATGATCGACAGGCCGGTGCCGTGTGACGTGCACCTGATGAACTTCCGGACCAACACCGACCCGGTGTTCCAGCAGTTCCCGTCGCCGTCTGCGCTCATGGTGCTGCACCGGAAGGGCTACGACTGCCGGGTGGACAAAGGCTACCGGATACCCGATTGTCAGCTCAGGCGGGACAGGGGCGTGTTCGACCAGGGCACTGCGTTCGCCGGGCTCGACCGCCTGCAGATCGCCAGGACCACGGTCACCGGTATGCATCCGATGGAAGCCGTCGACCGACTCGACCAAGTGGAGGTGGCCTCCATGGAGTTGGCCGTGTTCAACGTCACGTTTGTCGACTGAACGAGTCACTCCTCGCACTCGCGTTCCCTCACATTTAACATTATAAAATGTTTGTAAATTCTGTCCGTGACCAAATTTCTAGAACCTCGCGCCGTGTTACGATAACGAAAACTGATACGATCGACAATATTACATTAATTATATCACGTACTTTTGTGCAGTATGAGCAAGGCCGTATTTGGGGGGAGGGGAGTTTACTCCCCCCCCCCCCCAAATTGTTCTTGGATTAAACACATTATGTTAATATTTATAATCAGTTTTTTTTAAATAATATTTCATAACACCCCCAACCCTTGGAAAATTTGTTCGGAATACGGCCTTGAGTACGAATCGTTTCTGAGACCACTGCTACTATATAAATGTTATGTATTATAATTATTACTTATTATATATATTTTTTTTTTTTTTTTACTCCAGTTTATCGTTATATTATCTGTTACAGTACAGCACGATAGGTGTATATACGATAATATTATTATGTTTTATAATCGACACGATTAGGTATTAATTTTTAAATTTCTCACACGTCGACAACTGGGAGCAGATTGTTTATGGGGATTTGGGGATCGACACGAGACTCTTCCGTACCAGGAAATTCGTTTTTCGCAGACGCTTAGCGTGAAAACGACGAGCGAATACGTAATACGGTGACAAAGTTTTTGCCACGCAGATGCGAAATATATATCGATAAACGTAAACGATTATAATATCGTTATGTGACGTTATCGTTGTTTGTAAAAAAAATTTAATATGTTAACTTAAAACTTGTACAATAAAAAATTTTCTCGTGACATTATATAATGTTATTAAACCTGTAATGTATATGTTAGGTATATTTTGAATTTATAATTTGTTGAAAAATACTAAAAATATCAAATCAAATATATGTAACGCATGTCTGTCATTATAATAATATTATTGTTATTATTATATGTTACGGATATTATCACTGCATATAATAATATTGCATAAATGTTGTTTATAATATTGTTTTTTTTTTTCCCCTTTTAGAAATTATGGAAATGTTTTTATTTCTAGTCACATACCTATGTCTTACGCAAAACTCAATGATAAACGTTATATTATTATTATTGTGTACTAATTTCCGTTCGTTTTAAAGTTATTGTGTTTGTTTATTATATTTGGCTATTACATTGGAGCATTGGTAATATCATACAATACTATTATTAAGTTTAAGCACTGTTTTTACGCATTATACTTTTCATTTTTCGTTACGATAAACGGAAATTAGGTGTGTCATATACTCATATACAAATAAGTAATTTTTACTATAAGTAGTGTAATATATTATATTGTATGTTATTTTTTATAAATATTAAATAAAATACCCATGTGTTAATAAATATTGTTAACTTATATTTAGGCTGTAGGAATATTGTGATATAATATTATAAATGGATCGGTGTTTATTGATAATAATAAAATAATAAAAAAATGTTCATAATAAACTGTTTACAATTTTTTTTTATTTTATTTCCTCCTAGAACTTTGACCATACCGGGGATTTATAACATTTTTATAAAATATACTGTATTGTACTAAGATGTTTGAAGCTATATGCACATATAGTTGGCATTTATTCCGAGCAGTTCATCGATTGGCCATAGGTTTAATATCTGATAAATTAATTAAAATTGATTTTTTACTTATAAAAACATACCCAACTAAATAATACACTGCGCAGTCAAAAACAGTAGAATCTGAATTTGGTAGTCATGTTCTAAAAATATTTCATTGTAATCTCAGCATCCTTCATCAGAAATAGTATTCAATTTTACTTTGAGCTTCTTAAAATGTTTCTACTCTATTTGAAGTGTAAGCAGAGTTTTAGTAATTTCTTTCAAATCAGTTATTGTTATGATAAGATATATAATAGGAAGGTCACATAGGTACATACTACATCTATTACTATATTAATTATTAGTTTATTTATTTTACATGGAATTTCAATAGATATAGAGGATTTATCATCAAATATAATTAACAAGTTTAATTAATGAAAATACTGAAAACTGAAAGCATTCTACAAAGAATGACTAGAAGAATGGTCGTTTGGATCAGCCACTATTATTGTATAATTTCAAACAAAATTAAATTGAAAAAATTAAATTTCTGTAAAATAAATAACAAAAACATTATCTAGAATCAAGATAATGCAAGTATGTTCATTATATTATTTAATTTGAATAATATTTATTCTACTCCTAAATAATTTTGGTTAAATTCATAACATATCAATAAGTACGTCATATGCAACATTTATTCATACAGTAGATAGTTAACTCCAACTAGTGTACATTTTTGTGACGCTCATTAAAAATTAATGTGACTTTCCGGTAAACAAATTTTAGATTCTAGGCAGAGCGATGAATCTATTGTTTTTACAACAATGTGTGTTTTAAAAAAAAAAATAAAAATTTTATTATTTGTGTTTGTTTACACAATAGTTAGTTGAAACAATGCTTCGATTTTCCACTTCAGTATCTTGTTCGATGGGAAAGCGAATCTAGTTGGAGTAATTTTCAAAAGCACCGGGAAAAACGCAAAAAAAAAAATTATGAAAAACAGGAATAATTCCTGTAAAAATTATTTTTAAGCAAAATCGGTTTTCGAAAAAATCGATTTTAGTTTTTGGTGTAACTTTAAGACAAATGACCGTAAAGACAAGAAGTTTTCACGAATGTTTATATTAGAATTTTGTATACACCATCAAATTTACAACAGATAATATTTTGACTTGTTTTGAGCTGTTTACGAACATTTTAGTTTCCAATTTATTTTAGTTTTTTTTCCAAAAATGTAAATAAAATTATATTCGTTGAGTCAAAAAGCTTTTAAATTAAATACAACACACATATAGAAATCAGTTGTTAATTTAACTTTTAAATAAATTATTGAGCAACTAAATTTTAAGTTATGTGTTTAGGATTGTTAAGGTAACACTAGTGTGTAACTGAATTAACATTTTAGTTCAACAATCCATATTGTTAAAATAGTAAAAAAATGATATTGGGTTATTCATTTATATGTACCTAGTTAAAACAACATTTATTTGCAGTCAAATTGAAGATAATAAGTTTTACATACTGCATTTATTTAAAACAACACCCCGCGAAATGTTTGTCCACTTCACCGCTCGTCTAAACTTTAATTACATCCCAACCCAAATTCGATTTTCATGTATCAAAATACTAAGAAAAATATTCTGCTTTGGAATATAAAATTAAAACCCTATGTTGTTATTCAAAAAAGTAAAAAACTTAAAAAATATTTAAAAATATAATTTTTTAATAAAAACGTTGTTTTATAAGCGACTTGAAACTATGTAAAAAAATATTTTCAAAAAAATTTACACTTTTTGAAATAATGAGTGTTGTTTGATAAAAGAATCACGCTGTATTTTAGTGATTGTATTGACAAGCTTTTTCAAATGTCGTACTGTCGTCTGTCATGCAATCGAGTTTGGAATATTGAAGAATAGTTTTTACAATTATAAAACGTGAAGCTACTTTTCCAAATCTATACAAACTCCTTGGTGTTGCATATACTTTGCCAATCAGTAGTGCAACTTGTGATAAGGTCATTTTCTGAGATGAGGCGAGTCAAAAGACGGTTACGGTCTACTATGACACAAGAACGGTTTTCGAATTTATCCATCATTCATATTGAGAGAGACATATCAAACAATATTGACAGTGAAGACATTTTAAAAGATTTTTCATGTGCTAACATTAGAAAAATACCATTAATATATTAAAATGTTACCTACTATAGTAAAGTCGACTTGTTTTCTTTTTTCTGACTCTCTAAGATACCAATTACTATATATAATAGTGTTTGCTGTATAAAATGTTGAGTAGAGTATACCATTTTTATGATTGGCTCACGATAGTGTCACATACCTAAAAAAACAAATTGTTGTAAAGCCAATATTATGTTCTTCTCTTGGTTCAGAATCCAAAATTTGTTGTGATTGTATGTAGGGGGGGGGGCTGCCTATGGGATATTTTAAGTTCATAGTTTTGTTGGGGGGGGGCTATAGCCCCACCAGAATTTTAACCCTAGTTGCGCCTATGGGGATGGGAAGTATAAATCAGTCGAGTGAATTAATTACACTTGATTCAATTCGATTAAATAATTATTATCATGTTCAAGAAAATGTGACCAATACAAAATTACAAATAAATAAGAGAAAATCGGCAAAAAAAAAAAAAAATCGATTCAACGATAAAATCGCTCTAGCAGAATCGGTTTTAAAATCGATAAATCAACTCAAAAAAAAATCGATTTACATCGCCCATCACTATATCGAAATCTGTGATTCTGACGAGACTACGAGAGGATGGCGGGCAACTGATAACAGCAAGTTGTTAAGGTTAGTTACGTATAGGTTAGGTAGTTAATAGTTATTAGTTATGCACTTATGCGGATAAGCCGAATCGCTCAGGACGCGGGCAAGATCGTTATTATATATTTTTAAGAGTGAAAAGTGAAAACGACTGACAAGTATCGTAGGATACAAACAAATTAATTTTCTACCGATTTTACAAAACAGATTCCTTGTCGAACGTCGAATTACCCCTAACACCTAATATTCAAAATTTCGATCGAAATGTCTGACGAAAATGAGATGTTAAGAGAAAATCTAGAAGCTCAGTTAGAACGGTTGGTCCAACAACTCAGTGATTTAGAGGAATGCAGGTAAAGTTAAAATGCATCTTGTACAATGCCGACTTATTCCTGTGCTGCACCTAAGGGGGCACTGCGGTACATTCAACGTTGAGTCCAAACGGTTCTACCGTTCACAGATTTTACTACTGGCACCTCACTACGTTTTTTTGGCCGTCCGTCTAATATGGGTTTATCACAGAAAATAAACCGTCTCAGCAGTGGGTTCTTATCCGTCGAAATAATGTGCTCACTTACAAACGGTACCGTGAAACAATTGCATGTTGCGATGACCAACAACGAAACAGTTCGAGTGCGGTGCTGTCTGTTTTTAATATAGTAGTTTGGCTGTGGACGTAAAAACCGTTCAGACTCGACGGCGAAAGTACAGCAGTGTGTTTAGACCATTAACGTTGTCTGTCACATAATCATATTTTTGTCCAGCCATTTATGTTTCAAAACATTGATTTCAACCCATTGATATTATTGTTGTTGCTAGCTTGGAAGTATTTGAATAAGTTTTCAATCTCTGCTGAATATCTAATATCTTGTTTGGAACAGAAGTTGGAATTTTTTTTAGTTTCAAAAGTAATATTTTGGGATTATGTTACAGAAGTGATATGACTGACGATGAATATAATGAGTCAAAAGAAGACACTGTTGAACAGCTAAAGGAATTCAATGATAGATTAAACAAAATTACCGCCGGTGACATGACTATACATGACAATTTGAGCATTATGCGTTTGGTCAGTATTAAGTTTAATTGTAATTTGTAATATAACAGTACTCATTTCAATATTACAAAATACTAGAGATTTTACGAACCATAATAATTAAGGTCAAACCAAACTTTTGTCTAAATTAACAAATCCGAACAGATCCTGTGTCCTTTTAAACAAACCCGAACCTAACATTAAAAAAGTCAAAATTGGATATTATTATATACACCATACCACAGAATTATAGACTAAAGATTTTAGATTAGTGATACCTAATAGAAACCTTATAAAACTGACTTTTATTTTTATTTCTTTGGTTCAATTATCGAACCAAACTATTAGGTATTTGGTTCGGTTCGAAAATCAAACAGTTCGTAACATCTCTACAAAATACATTTTGTTAAATCGTTAATTTTAGAAATAAACATTAATCAACCAAAATATGAAATTAGTAACTTTATAATATTTATGTCTTATACATAGGCAACTAGTGCAGCCATAACCAAAGCATTTCAAACACCGTCAATCATCAAAATGTTTGCTAAGAATGAACCAAATGCACTCAAAGATAAACGTAATCAAATTGAAAGAAATATGAAATTGGGTAAATTGAGCTTGGAGGTTGGAAATCGACAAAAAGTTAGTCTTATTTATCCATAAATAATAAGGTGGACGTGATACCCCCTTGTGTTGTCTCCGTCTTACAAGTGCGTAACATACCAAATTCTAAGCTCAACAGAACATGTGTAGCTCCGTTGGTTTAAAAATGAGAGTAAATTGACCTCTTATATAATCTAAAGGTAAGATTATTATCTAGACAATCGCATAGGCTTTTTATTATATTTTAATTTTAAAGCGAGCTATGAGTATTTTAAAATTATTAATTGTTTGTACATCTTAAAGTACTCATAACTCGCTTTAAAATTAAAATATAATAAAAAGCCTATGCGAGATAATAATCTTATCTTTAGATTTTATAAGAGGTCAATTTACTCTAATTATTAAATTGACGAAGCAACACGTGTTTGGCTGAGCGTAAAATTCACTATATTATGCACTTGTAAGAAGGAGACCACACATGCTGGTATCACGTCCTCTTAATATATACAGTACATGTTTTATTTATAAAAATTTAGTTTATTAATGTAATTATTTCATATATGGGTTTTCATTTAACAGCTTGAAGTATTAACTGCGTTGAGACATCTTGGCTGCGAGCTGACAGATAGTGATAAAATGTTTATTAGAGAAGAAACAAGCAAACTTCAAAGCTGTATGCCATCGAATGGTTTTAATATATCAGACTCTTTAAATGGTTTTGGTATGACATTTCCAATATTTTAATCATATAAATAATTTATGTATAAATGTGATACTTATTACTTATTGGTTATAGCTAAGGTTAGAATATTTATGACCTTAAAAACTATAAAAAAAAAAAAAGGATGCAAATGTACACAAAAAATATCAAAGTACCTATAACCTATGCCCTTTAAGAGGACGCTACAACCGCACGTGTTGTCTCCGTCTTACTTACGTGTAACATACCAAATTTACGCTCAGAAATTAAAGTTTTATGCCATTAGCTTAAAAATTAGAGTGAATCAACCCATTATGAAACTCGATGGTAAGAATTTGTGTTTTGTTGGAAGATTTTTTACGATAATTTAGTTTTTAAGTGAGTTATAGCGTGTATAATAAATGTAAATTAAAAATGCTCGTAACTCTCTTAAAAACTTAACTATCCAACAAAACACAGATATTGTTCTTACCATCAAGTTTCATAATAGATCGAATTCACTCTAATTTTTAAGCTAATGGCATAAAACTTTAATTTCTGAGGGTAAATTTGTTATGTTACACGTTTGTAAGACGGAGACAACACATTCGGGTGTGGCATCCTCTTAATCAAATAAAATGATATGATTATGACATTATAAAATGCCTAGAAAACTGAAAAATACTGTATTATCTTGGCGCCTGATTTTGTTGTTTGACTTTTAATTTAACTATAGATTAAAACAATTTGAATATTACTTTTGATTAACTTTTACATAACTATTTAAGCTGATTTTAGATTTGAATGATTTTATTGAGATTTTCAAATAAGTACTTGCGTAATGCGTTGGTTGTCAGGTAACAGATTTTTGTAATATGAAAATTTCATTCATCATCTACTGAAGCACATATTGAAATTTGTACTAAAAATTCATTTTTAATTTTTTTTTAATCACTGTTTTTATTCATAATATTATGCAATTTTTCCTGTTAACCCCGATAAATGTGCCAAAATATGCAATATAAAATGTAATGTATCTGATTCTATGTCACACAAAACCAACTTTTGGCAATGTGCATGACAAAAAAAAAAAAAATGAAAAAGTCATAAAAATCCTGACCCTACCTATTAGCAATTTGAATTAATTTAGTTCATGACTTTAATTGTTAAATATATATCATAAATATAGCTAATATTAAAACAACTTAAATTGTAGGACAACTTTTAACATAATATTATACATTTTTAACAAAAATGACAAGATATTTTTGTAATTTAGATCTAACATTAATGTTTCAAATTAGTTTAATATCAGAGGTAATAAATCTTCATAAACTTGTTTTTGCTAAGTTCTACTTGCCAGAGACTTGTGTTTATATATTTATTTTCTAAAATTATACTTTTGTCTAAACAAAAAAAAATATAACATTATTATTTTTCATGTGGGCTATTAAAACATTTTCTTGACATTTTCCTATATTCTATCAGTTGTGCCCCATAAAATATTTATTTTTTTGTAAGAAATCCAAAAGTGAATTTGGGTTTGTTATACATTTTTATCTTTCTTATATGTTGCATATTTTTTTTTTACAGTTGTAAAATATACAAAATTTTTATGTTTTTTATAGAATAAACTACCAACCTATATGTAGTGCAATATAGCCAAAACAAATATTCTGTGTCCAAAACATAAAGAATGTTGTCATATTTATTACAAAAAATAAATAATAACCTTTAAACAAATTTATACTGGTCACAAATTATGATTCAAAAGAAAAAAAGTGGTATTTTCAAATTTATTTAAATCTGATATTATTTAGGAATTTGAGTTCATTAGTTTTCATCATATTCTACACTTTTCATTTATCATTGCTAAAATTCCATATTAGTGGCCCATAGACGCCAGGTGTAACTGTTACACTATCTTAATAATTATTTTTGTTCATAATTTAACTTTATGAAGTAATGAGTAATAAAATAAAATTGTTTTCTTTTAATACTTGTTAACTACTTCCAAGCAATACAATAGTTAATATAAACAATAAAATATTGCCATTATCAAAAATATTCTGTGAAGAATTAACTTGGTCACTAGTTGGTAAATAACTGGTCTTGTAAAAATAATGTTATAATTTTTAATTTCATTTATTAGATTTATTAATATTGGTGTATTTAGATTTAGATATAAGAAAGCACTTGTGTTATGATAATATATTAATTTTACATGAATTTGTAAATAACAATTATTGGCAGCTTTATTTTTAAGTTTTGACTATCATTATATTGATTTAATTAATAATTACACACAATTTTTTTTTTTCAGATTTCAATATGTTTTTGAAACTGGATGACACTACAACATAAACTTGGCGTCTTGGCAATAACACAATAACACACAACCAGCATAGGCTTGTCCAGAACTTGTTTGCAGGTCATGCACAGTAGTGGCATATTCAGGGGAAGTAGGTTTCTGCACCCCCCACCCCCTAAAAAAATTTCAATAATTGTAATAGATATTAAAAGTCCACATGATGAAAATCAAAAAATTTAATATGAAATCAAAATCTAAGAAAAAAAGTGTATATTATTATGTACCGCAATTTATAATGTAAGTTAGTTGCATGACAGGCAAGACCCGTAGACACGCCTATGACAACCAGTGTGGTAATGAACAGTATTTTTTATATAATTAATTGTTGTGTATTTATTTACTTAGCGGTAATCGACATAGACCAAACGTTAACTATATTATTATATAAGACTTATATTTTATGTATTAATATGTGTTACTTGTAAGTATTTGTGAATTGTGTTTAAAAAAAACTTTAGTTTTGATATTTTATTTTTGTTATAAGTTCCATTTTATAAAAAATGTACTAAAGCCATATTAAAAATGCCAAATGTATATTAAAAACCGTCTGTTATACTGAAAAAATAGAGAAATATATTTTTAATTTAAACAACATTAAATCATGTTTGTTATTTAACTTACATATTTTAAATTGTTTCAGGAAGAATTCAATTAGCTTAAAATTTTTTAAATCAATGTTCTCCAATAAATTGGTAATTTTATTTTGAGACAAATGGTTTAAATGTATGTATTATTTATAGTTTTCCCAGTTTCCAATGTTAAATGTCAACATTTTTAATTAATTTAATATCTATACTCATAAATCCATTAATCTTAATAGTATAAATACCAACAGGGTGTAAAATATTTTCTAAAATTTAATGTTAGCTTTTATATTCTAATACTGATTTAAGTTAGGTACAGTCACAGTGTGTATTTTTTAGGTCAACATTTTAAAAGATATAACTTTATTTTTTTTAATACATTTTGTGGTTGTATACAAAAGTATATTATAGAAGCATCTTCTAAATATTATAATTGTATACATTTTTCTAATGACTATTAATTTTATTGATGTAATATCTGAGTATCGTCAGTTTTCAACATAAAAGTAGTAGCTAATAGTTCTGTAGTGGAGGGTGTACGCCGTATACCTTCTGACCATTACAAATAAACACCTTATACCTTCTGGTATGATACCCTCTGTTGTGGTGAAATAATATAAAATGTTATATATTATAGTTGTACGCAATATGTATACCAAAACACATAATTGGGTATCAGTTATATGGTATACCCTCTGATTTTTTAGTAGCTAATAAACTCCAAGCTCAAATTTAGGTTAATCTAAAATAGTGAATGTCACATTGGTGTTTTTGCCACCTTCTAGCCAATATCCAAACCTTTGACATTATTGCCAAACACTTGTACACATAAAACGTCATTATTTAATTATTAAAATTTAAAATATATATTATTTGAGATTATAAGAAAATAAAAACTGAATTGTAAATGGCATAGAAATTAGAAACTGAACTTTATAATATTATCATACCAATGTCAAAAACATATTAGGTTAAACATTATCAATGATGATACTTATAACCTAATTTCACTGTTTAAACATATTTAATCGAAAAACATTTCATCAAGTACATAATTAATGATACATGTACAATATTTACTTTTATCATTACTAATATTATTGTACCTAATCTTTAAATATTGTTGATGTTAATTTTATATTTTAAGATTATCATTTTTTTTGTGATTTGTTTAAATCATATTGTAGGTACCTGCCCAATTTAATATGTATTTAAAATTACTCGAACCAATCAATCATATTTGCGGTTGACAATGCTCTGATTACACTTAGTGTCATATTTACTGTGTATTTTCAGATTTAAAAAGTTTACTTTTGCTAAAAATATCAAAATCATGCGCAATATTCTATCTAATTATTTACAACCGATACCAATCAGATATAATTTAATATTGCCTATAGACTTTTTTGTTCTTTTTTTCAATGCTTCAAAAAGCATTTTACAAAAAAAATATGTTATCGTAAAATCAAAAACTTATTTTTTGGCAATATTAATCCAATAAAAATGTTTTAAATGTACAAGTTATAAATCAAGTAACCTCATCAACAAACCCTGATCTAGTCAAACTGTATTGTAAACACACTTATTTATGAACAATGCGTGGACGAAACAAACAATTTGAGATGAATAAATAAGTATAATTATAATTCACAAATCAGGTAGGTAAATTAGTATACCTACAATATATATACTGCAGTTGTAGTTGATTTTCTAAAGTATATAAATATATTAATTACAATTCATAATATAACAAGGTATTTAGGTTTTAGTTTAAACGTTGACTGTAACGAGTCCGCTGGCGACCTGTAATTTACTATTTATTTAATTTGTTTTTAAATTTAAATTTAATAAGATCACAATTTAAATTTTTTCTATAGTCTAACTATAATCTAATCTATAATCCTAATTATAATCTTTTGAACTAGGTACTTCAGTTTATAAATACAATATTAAGATATACTATCGACTATACTTACCCAAAGTTTAAATCTAGCCCCGATGCTACTATAATACTAGGTGGGTTGCTAGTATTGCCACCTACCAACCTAATTGTACCGCTTAGTGATTATTGTGAGTCATCATTCATTAATTGTATTTTGACTATCCAAAATATTTTGAAAATTTGGTCTCAACTTTCAGTGAAGCACTGTAAATAAATATTTATTTTTAATTAATAAATGCAGACTGTTAAGTATGAAACAAAACTATAATCTAATTTAGTAGGTAGGTACTATAATATAGATATTATCTAGAAATACCATTGGTTTTATTTACCACACTCATAAGTGAACCATGTTGGAGGCACTTGAAACGTTGAGCGTTCCAATCATGACTACTTGTCCTTTAATTGCTTAAACTTGACACTCTAGCTGACCGCAGGCAAGCTGCAGATCTCGATTTTTGATTAAATCTTTACAAGGTAAAATCGATTCACCATACCTGTTGTACTAAATCTCTTTCAACGTCCCTGTCCGAATCTCACAACGCCCTGTCTCTTTCTCACTCACTACTGCCTCGACTAATAAATTTTGGTAATTAAATGAGTCTCTGCACCCCAGTGGCGTGGTGAACGACGTTTACCTAATACAATTGCTTAGCCCTAGAAATTTTTCAGGGGGGTGGGTACCCCTTGGCTCAGGTAAAGATAATAAAGAATATATTAAGAACAACCATCGGCCAAAATAGATTGGAATCACTAATGCTTTTATCTTGGGAAAAAGATATTTCACCTAATTTAGAAAAAGCATTAGATAGAATGGGTAAATCTTCTCAACTGCTAGAAAAAGCTCTTTTATTTAAATAAATAAATAATTGTATATTTATGTGATAGTGTGATACTGTAAATAAAAAATTATATTAGTATATTACTATATACCTATATTATTTTTTATGTATTGTATTTTAATTATAATTAATGCATTATGTAATCTATTTTTTTAATAATACACTTACACATAAGCAAGGCTTGTGTTTACTTCATAAAAGACTGCTTCAAAAGTCATCAGAGTTAATTGGTATTTTTAATTATACTATTACTATTTTATGTATAATTAATTATTATTATTTATAATAAATGTTTGATGACTTCCTATAACAAAAATTCAAAATTAGCATATAGAAAATTATACTTAGTTTGTGGGGGGGGTGTAAGTGGGGGGTCATTACAAAATTAATTTGCTTAGGGTTTGAAAGATGCTCTCCACGCCACTGCACTTAGCAATTGAAGACCTTTCTTTCTTGCTTTAATAATATAGTTAAATATTATCGTGCCAACAATGTATATTAAATGTATAATCTGTAAATCGGGGCAAAAGCCCATATTGTAAAATAAAACAAGTCATAACGCAGTCCAAGTGGGTTGTTCACAATTTATTAATTTAACAATTTATAAAGTCTGAAATAGTTCCACATTGGTGAAATGTGAATATTATTCATTGTCACGGGCACATATTTTTGTTTCGATGTTTAATCGTTATATTCTCATGTCGAGTAGGTATATTTGAATCACGACGAAATAAAAAAATTCTCCCATTTTGAAATGGACGTTATTTAGAAATATTATTATAGGTATCATGCGCAGATCCTTTCAGTAAGTAGTAGTCAAGTGCAGTGGCGCACACTCAAAAATAAATATTGGTAGGTAGCAAATTGAATCGGTTACCCCTATTTATTTTCTAATAGACTAATGGCTATAGCCTATACAATTATTCAATAGTTTATTTTCAATATTTTTGAATTATTTTGATGTAAATATTTTGGAGCCAGGAGCCAGGAGACCCCTGGTCTAAGGCGTCGGTCGCGACGCAGCCGGTGCCAGCTCGATTCCTTGGTCGCGGGCGGCAATTTTCTTTGGGCAAGTCACGGAGAATAAGTGCCGCCATCTCCCACCCGGACATGGCAAATACCTACGGGTGCCCCAGATAAAAAATTCTGCCAAAACAAACACACACGACGTGTAACAAATCCTCCCCTACGGTACCACAGGCTAATGACCTGAGTAGTCGAAGCCTCAACCCTAATAAAAATAAATAAATAAAATATGGTCAACTATAATGTCTAATACTATTAATATTATACTAGTTTTATAATAATTTTATTATATTTCTGATATTACGTTCCAAAATATCGCCATAAGGAAACTCTCGAATGCCCCTCCTTATGTATCAAATCTCTCACTCCACACAGATCTAAATCTAAAAACCAAGAAAAACCGAAGAAGCCAAGGCCTACTACAAACGATTTCACGCCAGAACAAACTATCACAATAATCCTCTAATCAAGAACCTTGCGTCTGTTACCATACCCGGAAATCCCCCAAGGCGCCTAAAGCGTAAGTGGTGCCGAGATGTTTTAATTAACTAACTTGTAAACTCTCCTGTGAAAGTGTCGCCAATGGGTGGCTTCTTTCTTCAATTTTTATCATGTCATATTTTTACTCTGAGCCTATATGCTTATTGTGTCATTTGGTACAGATTGTATATTACTTATTTGCAAGTAAAATAAAAAAAATAAAAAATATTTCTGATATTAACACGACAAATGATATTATCGTTGTAGAATTGTGAATTGGGGGTCTGTGTGACTGTGTGATAAAATTTAAGTGGTGGTGGTCGAGCATTTATATACTCGCCTCATAAAATAAAATAGTTCACGCCGCCATTAGACTCTTGACGACATTCGCGACAGGACAATGTTATAAATAACTATCAAATCGAAACGATGATGATAATAAATTATAATGTGCTGGCCGAACTGTAAAATAATTAAAAATGGCTACTCCTATAATGTGCTGGCCAAATCGGAATAATATGTATGATCCGTGTCAAACGTCTACGTGGATACCATTATTGTGTGTATTCGTCATCCTTCGTCTCCAGAGACATCGTCAGTCATTTTACTACGAAGCTCAGCCCGGAAAGGTCGCACGACAAGAGAAAAAGTCCGTCGAAGTCCGTCGTTTGATCATTATTTTTTTTTTTCCACCGTTCTTCGATAATATTAAATACCAGTCGAAACCGTTGTTTTAAGTAATTCTTTCGCAACAACAAACTCTATTCGTTTTTTTTTTTATTACTCTCGAAACTAAAAATAAAAAAACATGAACTCCTTCGTCGCATTGATGGTCGCCGCGGCTTGTATGAGCGGATATTTTGTTCCCAGTGAGTATATTATAGCGACGCTTTGCGATTATTTTTTGTCTTTAACGGATGCGCAAAACAATTTTATTAATCTACTGGTTTAGCGGTTCCCGGAAATTTGGATTTTTTTTTTATTTTGAAACCCGTGTACAATTCGACGAGCTTAAGACGAAGGGGCGAAAATAAATTTTCGGAAATTATCAGTTTTGAAGTCATAATAAACTTGCGGATTTTCGGTGTTTTATTCGTGCGCGCTCTAACGCTCTTTTAACGGATTTTTTTTTTTTTTTTACTCTAGAATTAGAATTTTTGCAATTAAATTAAATAAAACGATTGATCACTCTAAAAATAAAAACGATTACGGTTACAAATTATTATTTACGGTATTGTTGGATCGAGAATAATGTATTTTTATTAAATCACTATTTTTAACGTTCTTATAATGTGGGGGCAGCGATTACACGGCTAGCGGCACTTATGTTTTCGGAAAAAAAAAATTTGTTTTAAAAATTCGTTATGAGAGCGTTAAAATAGCAAGACACCGCAAATCGCTCGAACTTCGCAAGTCTATAATCGTTTCCCAAAATTTATTTTTGCTTCGTTCTAAACTCGTCGAATTACCTACATGGGTTTCAAAGCAAAAAAAAAAATCGAAATTTCGAGGAGCCTCTAAACTATAGATTTACACCCGTTTTTGTCGAAATAAACGTCGCGTGGAGTATCGGTTTTTTCTGTGGATTTTTGCACGAATGATATCGTAAATTCATTATACAATTTTTTTTTTTCTTATTAATCATCTCTCGTTGGGAAAATATTATATCGGTGTATTTGCGTAAATGTTACACAGCAGCTCTGGCAGATGGCGAGATGTGTTTCGTATGCGCGGAAGCGGACATAGCCACGTGCGGAACTGTGCCGGCCGCGGGCCCGGCCGCTTGCGTTTCGAAAATATGTTACGAAGTGCACGTACAAGGTAAGCGAGAATATTATAATAGGTATTCGGACGAGACGACGTAATTGATTTTTGTTCCGCTCGACAGACGCAGCCAAGGCGTACGCCGGCACGGTACGCGGCTGCTTGGCCGACGCAACCAGCCTGAAGTGCGAGGGCGCGTTGAAAGCCGATTCCACGTTTACGGCGATCGAGGGCGGCTGCAAGCAGTGTCCGGCCACCGCAGCGGATTTCTGTAACAACGGGATGCACACCGCACTCGACGCGCCCGGCGGCGGCGGCGCCGGCGCGGGAGCCGGAGCCGGCGCGGGAGCCGGAGCCGGAGCCGGAGCGGGCAACGGCACGGGCAACGGAACCGCTCCGGGCAGCGGCCACCCGCCGTCGTTCACCGCGGGCACCGCCGTGTTCTGCGCGTTCATGTCTTCCCTGGCCATCGCCAGAATGATGTTCTACGACACTGCGCTCTGATCGGCCATCGACTCATCGAAACAAAAATTTGTTCTTTCGTCTTATTTTAATGACGCTGTATGAATATAATATATAGCCAATAAACATAAATAATTAAATATATTTTTTGGTGTACAATTTTTTTCGACTGTTCCACAAAATGGACTCGGAACACGTAATATTTTATATAGTGTTTAGAGACGCGAACGTTAATATTATTTTCGTCTATAATATTTTATTATGGCTGGTGTTTCAATATTTCACGAAAACGTGGAACATTGACATTTTTTGGTTATTAATATGGTTGTTTTAATATTTATCAATTATTAACTTATTATCATCTCCAAGAGTAACTTATAGGGAAATATAATGTATATCATAATTGATATCAATGGGATTTGAGTGCTGTGGTTGACATAATATTGTAGGTGGGTAAAATGTTGTATACGTAACGTTCAAACGTTTTTCAATGTTTTTTTTACAAATATAAAAACTTTGAATACCATTTAAAAGTATCATTCGTGCCTCGAGATACGTAACCCGACGGCGAATACCATGCATTATCGAAGTTGAAACGTTTACGAAATCGAAAATTCAATGGTCAAATTATATTTTTCATATCGTAGTGAGTAATTATTATAACTTCAGTCCCATTGCTAAGCAAATCGTTATACTTGAAATAGTCATTTACAGTGTCGGTCTGGCCTCAGCCGCTAGACGGGTTCCGCTGGCATATTTTTGTTGAGGGGCCCTCCCATAGTAATAATATAAATATTGGATGTTGAATATTATTATTAAAAATATAATATATCATTAAAAATTATATTAGGTGCCTACTATTGTAGTATTATCAAATTTTATCAAATATTACCGATATGAAGAAAATCAATTACACAACTTGAATCGCATTAAAAAGTATTAAGTTGTATAATATTATAAGGTAGGTAGGTGTACCTATTATTCATATGATTTTTCAGAATTATAAATGATTACTATAACACTATGTATTTAACTTAAAATAAATGTGTATTTTAAATAAGGTGAGTACCTTTAAAAAAATATAATATTTTGCACTACTTGTTTATAAGAACTTTTTTTTATCATTTTTTAAGTAATATTTTTGGGTCGCTTCTATATAAATGCATTCGGGGCCCTTCAAGTACCAGGCTGACACTGGTCGTTTAGTTTTGATCACTGTTGAAGCAGTAGGAAAATATCAAAAAGTATTTTAAAATATAAAAACCAATAATGATTGTCATCGCCTTCATACAATTACTATTTGACACATTAAAACATAATAATTTTTTTTTTGTAAACATTCTTTTACATCTAAACAAATGTCTTTATTGCTTGATCCATTGGATTCCCTTTCATCAAACTCCTAAATATACATATGGTGATAATCAAAAAATATGTTATGATTGTACATTGTACAGCCAAAGTCGGTTAACTTCAACAATGCCTTGACATTCTGTACTTAACTCAAATGTTATGGTCTATGAATAACTTTAAGTTCTAACTAAGATGTTAACATTAAGAATATTATATAGGGACGCACATATGCTGTTTTTGATACATATTTTTATTTTGAAGTTAAAGGTAATAGTGGCTAGTACGGGGGACTAAAGTGACTACACCCCAAAGATTTAAATTAATATCTAGTTTATTAAATACCTAGTATATAATAATTTTGTAGTTATTAAGGGTTTTTTTTTAATGTACTGTGTAACTGATCAGCCCCAAACCCCAAAAGAAAATCCAGGATTCTCCACTTTCCTTCAAAATTAAAATATCAAAAAAATAAATACCTATTTGGGTACATTTAGTTTTGAATCAATTTACTCTACATATAACAGTGTTGAATAAATTATTTTGAACTTAAAATTGGCTATGTTATGGTTTGTGCATTTGTGAGACAAACACTTGCCAAACAAAAATAATTACTTTTTAAAATATTTAAGTATGTATGTAGGTTTTATAAAATATTAATATTAATATTAATATTACATAATATGTTAGGTACCTCTATATATTTTAATTTTTTACTTTCTTGGATATAATCTTATTTCATTAAGAACTCTAAAATTATTTTTCCTTTGACTTGAGTTACCTACCTACCAAGTTTGACTATGTATTTAATATTTACTTAATATTAATAATGGTTTTAAATACAATATTGTTCATAATATGTCTTTAAATATTTTAACTGCATAGTATTGTAGGTACCTACTAAACTTTGATTTTGTAGATTCTGAGCGGAGTATGATGAATGTGTTGATGTATTAATGTATCAATAATGTGGTTTTCTTTATTTTTTTATCTGTCATCACCTTTTGGAGCAGTAAAAATTCTATCTTCAACTTAAACAGAAATACCTACTTTAGAAAATTGAATCTTGTTGGTACTTATAGACTATAGTAAAAGATTCTCAGTTCTTAATAAGTAATTGGGGAAAACTAAAAAAAAAAATATGGAAGAATGCAACAATACAGTGTGATCACAATATTAGGGGTACCACTGAATATCTCAGATGGGTGACTTTGTATTGAAATGGGGTTTTTGGGAGGTGATAGGAAGCACTTAAATACATATTTTCAGACCAGTTTCAAATTTTTAGCTCACTTGGTACGCTCATTTAATGATATTTTCATTTATAACCACAGGAAATGGAAATTTGAAGACTGCGGTTTATGCAGATACACCTGTCAATCTTCAAGACTTCAAGAAAGCACACAAAATACAAACCTATACTCTAACCTAACCTATATTCTTTACTCTATGATACAAACAGCATGTGATATTTTAAGTGAGGACCGAATCAAGGCGACAACTTTGACTGAATATTTGAGATGACTGGAATCATGTTTAGAACATGATGGCCAAAACTTCGAACAATTCATTCGATAAATGTATTTAATACATTTTATTTTTTATTATAATATTACTATTACCATTATCATTATAAGTTATAACTATTTTGTTGTACAATTAATTAATACGGTTGACAAAATATCATACACTGAAAATATTGTTTAATTATTTCACACTTATTTTATTATTTCCAGTGATTATAAATGAAAATATCATTAAACACAAACTATGCATAAATCCAATTTTTGACCTACTCTAACTTGGTCAGTTTTGAAAATAGAAAAAAACTTTTAATACAATAAATGTTTAAAAAAAAGTACTCTACTCGAATCTGCAGAAAAAACTGGGGTTGCCATTTAAAAAAAATTAAGTCGTATTGCGGATGCAAGTACCGAGTGAGCTAAAAAGTAGAAACTGGTCTGAAAATATGTATTTAAGTGCTCCCCATCACCTCCCGAAAACCCCATTTCAATACATAGTCACCCATCTGAGATATTCAGTGGTACCTAAATCGTGATCACACTGTATACTAAACACCTATTTTTGACAAAAAAAGAACTTTTGTAATATTCAAAAACCTAATATAACCTTAGATACCTACTTTATATTATGTTCATCTATTGTCTATTTTAGTAATTTCTAAACATGGTATAACTTCCAAAATGCTTTGGCTCTTCTTAAGATATTTATAAACATATTAAATCTATCAGAAATGTCAATTAAAATATTTATGCTTGGTCAAAAAGCTTAAAAATTAAATACAAGGTTAGGTTAGGTATTATAACTCCAAAAAAAAATGACCTAATTAGTAATTTTATTATGTGTCTGGAAATAACGATAATCGCAGTATATTGAAACTTTCACTTAATGTTTAAATTTTCATTTTATTTACAAGATTAAATTTTTAAAATATTGAGCTTATTTTTAAATTTTAAGCTATTCATAGGCATTTAGAATATTGGAATTGTTTAGTTTTTTTTTTTGTTTTTAAATGTTGATTATTATATTATGGGATCTTTTATCCATCTTCCGCTATTTATTTAATATGACTTGAGTCTTGAGAAGTTTTTGTGAGTATAAGTAGAGGATACATACATTTATATATATTTTTTTTTTTTTATTATTTTAAACTAAGACATTCCTAGCCTAAGGCTATCTATGTCTAGGGATATTTGACAATATACTTATGTTTTAACAGGTATTAACATGATGATTAAATATTTATAAGTACTAAGGATAATTTACAATTGGTGATTGCAAGATATTTACAGATGTTACAATGTGATTACAATAATATTATTCTAGTATTTACATATTTACAATAATAAGTAGCAGAGAGGTCGTAGAGTTATCTGGAAGAAGCGCGTGTGTAGAGTGGAGATCTGGATGTTGAGAAGTGGCTTAGTGTAGGAGGTCGTGGGGACGACCTCGTTTTAATCGACGATGAGTTGGGTGAGTGAGGAGGTTATAGTGAATTGCTCCTGATGAGTTTGGAAGAGAGCAAAAAATTTATATTAATTATACCCATTCAGATTCTCCACTTGGTAAATCCAACATTTAAATATGAATGACAGTATAAATAGTAGGTACTTACATAAGTACATAATAACCAAGGCTCGGGACTTAAAGCATTTGCTTATTTTTATGGATTGGCTTAAAATGTAGCAGAGTGCTATGGAAGTGTATGTCGTGTTACGAGACGTTTAGTTATGAAATTTAAAAGTGCTTTTTTTTTGCTTTTTTCATCGATTTTCCAAAAAAATGCTTATTTACAGTTTTTCTGATTATTTTTGATTTTTTGACCAGTTTTTCTACTTTTTTTTTATGGTTTTATACTGCAAAGTTGTTTTTGATAGAATTAAAACTAAATTATTTAATGCAATACTAATGGAAAGGTTTAATTAATTATTTTTTTTTTCAACTAATTGTAAATATCGTTTACATTTTAATTTTCAGAAAATCCCTTGGAAAATCTATAAATAATAATTTGAATTGTCTAGAAAGTGAAATTTGATTTTTTTATAATATAAAGATTTATTTATTTTTATTTTTTGTTAGAAACTTTTCCTAATCATTTTTTTAACACAGTTATACAAATTATGTCTATAGTACCTACTTTATCGTGTAAAAAGAATTTTTTTTTTGATGAAATATTTTTGCTTAAATTTAAGTTTTTTAAATGCTTATTTTAGTGCTTATAATGATTTTTTTAAGTGCTTATTTTAATGATTTTAAGTGCTATAAGTCCCGAGCCCTGATAATAACTATTAAAATAATTATTTATTCTTATAATATTATGTGGACTTCAAAAAGAAGATCACCTAAAAGTACACCTAAAATATTAATAAAATACAGGTAATTTAAGTTACAACTGTTAACCATCACAAATATTTTAATTGATATGCAATATAATAATGTACCTACCTATTAACTTGTTTACAAATTAAGCTAAAAATTATAAAAGAAAAATTGATTAAACAATAAAAATAAGTATAAAATTCAATATGGTTTTCAAACTTACCTAAGAAATATTTAAAACTGTATTTTAAAGGAATGCTTTTCCTAATTATTAAAACAGTATTTACGTGTAAAATAAATATGTATATTGTATGTCAGGTAATAACATCATATTACAGCTGTTGATGTGTCAACATTTAATGACTTTTTGCATGTGGTACATTATTGTTAATATTTTTTTCAATGCAAATTGTTTTTTTTTTAATCTTCATGCTATTTTCACTATTAGAAAGACGTCCTAACCGTCTCGCCCCACTATAGTTATTGTCCTAGTGTGCCTTGCTCTCGATGTTGGTTGTTGGTATTTTGCTAGGTAGAGGTGCTAAATTATCATACCATATTCTAGAATAGGGCGCACAAGAGATAGGTAAAGTGTACGAGGACAACGGACTGAGCTAAACATTTTAGTTTATAAAACCCAAGACTTTCAGTGCTTTACAGGTGGTATATTATATAATATATATGAAAATATTAGTCACAATTTTAAGTAACAAACTACATGATTATACATTTTAAAAATTAGCTAATTTGATATTTAAATATAACAATATCGAAATATAAATTAAGAACAATTTTTAAATAATAATAAATCCAACACAATACAGGGTGTCCCGTGAGGATTTACTCATTGCGATATCTCCTGAAATAATGGAGATATCGTAATTATGTTTTTTTATTAAGACTCGTAGAGGTAAGCACTACAAATTTTTTATTTTTTAATTAAATTAAATTTTTTAGTAAAAAAGTTAAAAAAATTATTTTTTTATTTTTTTATTTTTGAAAAAATTGAAGATGGCCATTCTATAGAGTATATTTTTGTGAACATTTTGAGCTTTTAACATTTTATTTTCATTAATCTCATGATTTTTAATAATTTTTTTAGTTTATTAGTAAAACGTCAATAAACTGGTTTTTGTCCGGGCGGCGAGTCCCCCTCTACGGCTAATGAGTAAATCCTCACGGGACATCCTGTATATATTATAATATAATCATGTCAAAATAACAATAAAAATAATAAATCACTCATTCTGTTTTGAATTTGTATGAGACAGTTAATGAATGGTGAATATTTATAACAAAATATTCTATAACTAGGTGTAACAATAATGAAATATATAGGTATTATTTATAAAAAAATTTAAACCTCTGGTGAAAAGTTAAGGATCAAACATCTTTATTGCGTCTTTCATTCGCTCTTTGGCATGTTTGAGTCAACCTGTTACAGCTTTATTTATAGATGTAACACTTGCTCCTTTGAGATTTTTTAAAATACCACCTTAAACTTAAAAAATAAACATTGTTTGTTATACAAACATTAAGTACACATTAAGAATAGAATTATTAAAAACTCACCAGAAATAATTTTAAACAACAATGTAGATCTTAGAGGTTCCTTATCTTTTTTATTAATGCACTACGGCCAGTCAAAGATATTTTGCATCCTAAATTATTTGTAAAAAGTACATCCATAATAGACTTAGTGACTAATGATCATCCACTTGGACCATGGAATTGTCTAAGCTTTTTTACCTGTAAACAAAGTTGCCGATAAAAATTATAAAACAAAGTTAGTTCTAAAATATTTACCAATTTTCTTGAAAACAATTTGTCACTCTTAAGAGTAATATTAATTTCATTCAATCTATCCAAGCTATCAAGTGGAAATCCTTCAAATATAATATCATCTTCATCATAAATGCTTTCATCATTATTAGCTTTAAGTTGTATGAATATGTCTTCTAACAGGTGTTGTTGTCTTGCCTGATTTAATATAACTTTGTCCATTTTTACATTTAATTCAACTAATGAAGATATTGTAAAATCTGAATTTTTTTATTTCCAGTAGCTAATAATGTATAAAATTGTATATTATAAAGAGTTATTTTTAATCAACTTGCATCGTGGTGAAGTCATTATTCTACAATAAATTACTATGACAGACTATTATGGTTACCCAAAACATTAAATAGTATCATATAGCATAGTACTTTATAACTATGGAAAAAAATTATAAATGTTCTAAAAGGTCCTATTATCGACATAGATACAACATTTTCATGCAAATAGAATATAAAGAAAAAAAGATGATATTTTAAAATAACTAAATCATTTAACAAGTGGACAAATTGTACATGACTTATAATAGATACGTGTATAGATGAGAGATTGTATGGTAGCCCAATGATGTTATACTATTGTTTTAAATGTCTGAATAACTACAACAGTAACATTTTTTTAATCAGATTTTTTCAGATCATATTAATTTGGAGAAAAAAATTGGTGTTGTATCTTGTTTAAGTTAACTTTGAAAACTATTAATAATCAGAGAATTTAATTATTAATTAAAAGCTTGTTTGCGTATTTCTATTCTCTATCTTATATTCAAAAGAATTTTTTTTTTAAAAATTGATACAACAGTTGTCTATTATAACTTATAAGTTATTTGTTGGAAATGATTGTAGTTAAATTTAATATTATTAACCGAGTGTAATTACTTACTCTTCTTTGGTGTTGGAGAGGGTATAAAAAGTTTTCTTATAACACCAGTTTTATTTTGATATAGGTGTTGAATTTGATTGAGCTTTAGATGAACGTAACATGAATAATGGTGGACTACTCATGTCCCAACAAATATTTATTAGAATTTATTAGAATGTATACATCAATCAGTATTTGTCATACGCAAAGGTCCCTGAGAAAATGTATAACCAGCATCTAATAGCTAACAAATAAATAAATAATCAAAATAATATAATTTAATATAAGTTTTTAAACTTATTATTAGTACATTTATTACTTTATTTATAGTTTTGTATACTAACCATACTTTTAGGACTATAATTTTGTTGTATTCTCATTTTACGATGGTCGATGAGCGTTGTACAATTGTGAAAGTTCTTCATTTGACTGTACTAGAATATTAGTTACATCAAATATAAAAAACATATGTAATATAAAGTATTTAATTATCATTGTTACCTATTTTTGAATCAAATATTTATATAACATATTATAACATTTAACTTCTATAACTGCGTTTGATGGTTCATGATACGTACAATTCAAGTCTTCTAAAGCATTGTGATCAATACAAATTCAATTTTTAGAAGCTGATTTACCATGTGATTGATGACCTTAATATTATACAATTTAATTAATTAATTATCTTAAACTAATTAATGTTTATTATCTTACCAGATAGACTAAATGAATGTTTTGGCAGAGGAGGAATGAATGATAAATTCAATTTTTTTGGTGATTGTTTCTTTATGTCTATTATCATTTTATGTTTTGGATTTTTGCAGTTAATAATCTTCTTTTCGCTATGAAATCAGTTCATCTCTATCAGAATTAATGTCCTAAGTCTCGAAAGAGCAAGAGCAATTCTCAACTTTTGTTTTCCTCTTATAAAGTCATCTTTAGTAACAATGCACTTTAGTATTCTTTTTATGTGAATGGTTTAAACATTTTAATATGAGAAATTATTACCTGATAATGCCCATATTTTTTTATTTCAAAAGTTTCCCAATAAGAATGTGGTTTATCTGTATTTAACACCAATTTGTCAAATTGCTTAGAATTCATTTTAGTCATATCTGGGAAATAAGCAAGAGACTTACCTACTGAGATCCAGTTTCATGCGATAAGTTGTACACCATTATAAAACTCGACAACTGCATAATTTCTTTAACACATACATTTCATAATTCATAATTAAATATGGGTTAAAAAACAACATATTATTATTTTTTTTTAAATACATAATATTAAAATTATATCATACTTAAAATTTTAAAATTTTTTACTTAAGTGGTATAAATAAGCTAGGTATATGTACAAGATATATTAATTATAGGTAGGTAGGTAAAAAAAAACTCAAATTTGTATCTTAGTTTATTATTGAATTTGAGGTCTATCTTGTTGATCAACGTGCTATAATGGAAATACAAACTTAGTAGAACAAACAGAAATTGGAAATATAAAATGTTTTTAATTTATTTTGTTAACTAACCAAAAACTTCTTATTGACAATTTGCCTACATCAACTTAGTAAATACCTAAATATACTGATGAACAGTGTAAAGAATACAATGATGTTTTTTCTAAGAACTTTACCAATAATTACATGACCTCCAAGTTCAGCATTATAACAAATATTTTCAATCAAAATAATTTTTCCTTTAATTCCACAACAATTGTTACCTTTGTTATTAATTTGAGATTTCATGCCATTAAGTGTCATAGTAGTAAATTGTGAAATGCATCCTTTTAAAATTGTTCCAGCAGTATGAATATTTTTTAAAATAGTCAGTTCTTTATAACAATACTGGTTCTCTGGTTCTGTAAAGTAAATTATGATCAGAATTTTCTATCTCATGAATTCTACCATTGGAATGATTCTACTTTTGCATACAATTTTATAATTACATACAAATTATATAATTTTTTCATACCTTTTAAAGCTATTTGTATGTCATGAGTAGGGTGCGGATTTTAATGCCCAAAAAATACCTAAGAATGCCTTAGGAAAATGCAAATTTGACCTAAAAAATTGAATTAATGAAATAAAAAATGGGAAAAATTTAATTAACGGCCTTAAAAAATGAATTTTACCCCCAAAAATGACCTCAAAATTACCATATTAATTTATTGATGATTTTTTTTTTTTTTTTTGGGGGGGGGGCATTATTTAACACAATATTAAAGGAACAAACATGAAATAAAAACATACGAACTACAACCGTGATGTAAAACAAAGTCACTAATTATTTGTTATTTATCTGATAACGGGTGACATTTTGAACAAATATGCATTAAAACCCACAAAAATGACCCAATAATGCTAAAAATGCTCTAAAAATAAAAAAACATCAAAATATGTAAAAAATGCAAAATAAAATTTTTAGCTTTGAAGCACTCGCTACATGAAACGAATTATGTACTTTTAATTGGAAAACATTGTCTAAGATCAACCAAAAAAAAATGCATTTTGCATTGAAATCCGCGCCCTAGTCATGACCCATGAGTAAATAAAACTTCTCTAAAAAGTATCATTTTAGTCTGTCTCTCTGATTTGTCTATGTTTGGCTTTGATTCTCAGAGCCATCTCCATAACGCCTGACAAATATGGAAAGTGTTAAGTAGTAATTTTGAAGCTGGAAAAACAGAACATAATAATTGGCGTTCAGCAGTACTATCATCGGTCATAAAAACTATAGGATACAACTGACCATTAAATGCTACATGACCATTTCTTCAATAATGAGAGTGCATTTACATAGGTACCTAGTCATCTTTTGTTTGATGTTGGTGAGTACCACTCCAAGAGGTACTCCACCAATTTTAGAAGCACCAAAGAAAAATGTGATAGTAGAATTACCTTGGTTTGCACGAGCCACTTCAATCTACAAAAACAATATCTTTGGATAAAGAGAAACTGTAAGCTCTTTTAATAATTAGTATAAAAATTGCTAAAGCAAATGGATTTTCAGATATTTCTAATAAGCCTCCATTTTGTTGACACATGATTTGTTTTTCTTTTAAAGTATTTATAATTCCACTATTTGTGTGATTACCAAAATGCGCAGTCCTATACATCAAACAAAACAAATCCCTTGTTTTATAATATAAAAATGTGAGTTTTTAAATAATAATAAATTAAACAATGTTTGGTTACATTAAAATTGTAAAAGATTTTAATAAATATTAATAATTAAACATATTATATGTGCATATTAGGACATTTCAATTTTTTAATTCTATTTAAAATTTAAAAAAATATAGGTACCTATGTATAAAGCGAATATTAAGTTTGGAGCAAAATCTTAATATATCCTTTTCTGAAAGTGTACAGGAAATATTAAAATATTTTTAAGTTTTACTAAAATATATACATAAAAATGTACAATATATTATTATAAAGGAATATCTTAATAATATTTAATGCATTAAATTTTACTATAAAAATTAAGCACAAGTGATTTGGTATGGAATTATCTATCTACTTTTTTCTCACAGATAGTTTTTTGTATTTAAAAGAAAAAAATATTAAATATTTTAACAATTTTATTGTTTTTAAAGTTAAACATAGGCAATTAGCATAGTACTCAAAAACTATTTTATAAAAACAAAAGATTTAATATTTTTGCGATGGGGTTCTCAGATAGTCAGATATTATACCAACATAAAGCATAAAACATACCAAAAGCTAAAAATATACATCCAACTTTGATTTTTGCATGTGCATTATTATTAGGTATATCCAATTATAAATTATTTTTTTCTGTGCATTCATTTATTAAAAACATTTATTTTCAAAGAAATTGGGCTCTTCAGTTTTGATACTTAAACAGTTTGTGGACCTACACTATTAATAAACACACAGACTTGATTAATTTATGATAAAAAAAAACTAATTATTTGATAAGTTTGACCCATTCATAATTGTTTAACGTTTAACTCAAACAGTGTATTTAAGTGTACTTTATCAGATTATATTTTATTTTTATGCTTGGGCTTATGTATTTATATTATAGATGAGCACAACATTAATAGAGAACATTGTTTGCTTATATTGTAGGATCTATATATTTGTGAAGAAGAAAAAAAACCATGTTAAAATGATTTTGAATTATACATTTTTTCCCAAATGTCTAATTTATTTAAAAACTTGTTTAAATTTTTAAGAAATATAATTTAGAAATGTCCTTAATTCAATAGTAAAAATACATTGTTTATATGGGAAGAAAAATTGCTTTAAATACCTTACAGGACCAAAAAAGGATGAAAGACTAAATTTTTATGTATTTTCAAAACTTTTCCATTTTTATAATAGAAAAACATAAAGAAATGGTCAAGGTATCTTAATAATTCTTTCTATTTTATACATATTTATATATAATATTTAGGTACCTATATATGAATATTAAACATATACAGAGTGATTATTTTATCAAACAACACTCATTATTTCAATGTTTGATAAAATAATCACCTTATATAAGACAAGTTCCTAACATATTTTTTGCTCATGAAAATTAGTTCTAAAATACTATCTAGTATTTTAGTAACTAATTATAATAGGCAATAGATAATATTATAATTTTAAGAATAATTGTTTTATTTTAGAACATATAAATTACCTCCATATATCAAACATTTTGTAAACCTGTCGTTCAGTTGGATTTATCTGTGCATTTGCCAAAACTTTTATATATTCCATTTTATCATCCAAATCATCAAGCTCAGTTAATTTTATTTCATGATAGGTTTTTGCTGCTGATGGAGTTATACCGGAATTAAAATAGTTAGTAAATTCATTCTGTACTTCATTATTAACTTGTAAAAAGCTATATACTTCTGCATTGTGCACTTTGTGGGAACGCATAAAATCAATCTTTAAAAAACAAAATAATACAATTTAAGTGAAAAAATATCAAGACAGAACAATTTTGTGCGATGTGTGTCAAATTGTACCGTAAAAAATGAACTTAACCTAATAATTTAACATTAACATACACAAGAATTAAGAACTTACTTGTATTTCAGAATTTAATCCTTCATATGTATTGTTTTTTTTTTTTTTTTATAACTTTTTTATAAAAGCTTTGCAGTTTTTATTTCTAATTCAAGTATTTGTCTTCAAGAGGATTCTTAAGTTTATTTTTTGAAGAATGCTGACACACAGTCTTTTCTATATACATAATAAGTTTTATTCAGAAATGTGTTTTTTACAATCCAATTACTTTTTGTGGAGGTAGAAAACATTTGAATTCCTTTTATGACAAGCAGTAGGTAGTAGGTACTATAAACATATTTTGATTCACTTTCAATTTTAGTTCGAATTTCGAATAGTTACACTAAATTCATCATTACTTATAAGTTATCACTTTTCTTTTTATAATAGTACTGTTTGAATCAAAATCAAAGCAGTTTAATTTTGACATTTTAACTACGATGTGAAACTAATCCTTCAACTATTTTTTTTATAACTACGATGTAATTATGTAAATCAATTTGTGACTCTTTATCGTACATCAGTTATTGTGGTTTTCATTGTTTTCAATATGTGATATGATATGAGACAGATAATATAATAATATCTAACCTGGTAAATTATTTTATGTTTAAACAATTTAAATATTATAATTATAATCCACTATTATTATCAATTATGATTTCGCGCGTCATTCAAACAGGCCAATCAGAAGCACGGATTTAATACAAAATTTAGCAGTTTCGAGCACAGAATAGATGAAATTTAATTTAATTTCATCTATTCGGTGTTTTGAGCTTAGATCATAATATACAATACGATCTAAGGTCTCGTGTAGGGTATATAAATACGTGTCCCTACTCCCTACATGGTCCCTACCAAATCGCGGTCAAATCCGCGCATCCCCCCCTATTTGACATGTCGACGTTGCACGATCACGACCGTCAAAGGTCGGCAACGTTATATGGTAGTACCCATGGGCGTAACTAGGATTGAATAGTTACAGGGACTAGAGTCCTACAAAACCAAGGTGTAAAAACACGTGGGGGCAAAGCCCCCCACACCCCCTTATAAGATTCACTGAAATTTAGTTGTTACAAAAAGTCCGCTAAACCAAAATTTAATATAAACCATAATTTTTTTGGGTCATTTTCGTTGTTAGCACTAGTTGATTTTTTTTAATTTGAATATACTGAACATTTTGATAATTGTATACAATACAATCTAACGTTTTTACGTATATCGCGTACGTAGTACGTACTCAAAAATAAAAACAACGGCTGCGACAGTCTGTAATAGTACCTACCTACTTTGCAGTCTGAAAAGTAAATTGAGAACTGAGAATTGGAAAATAAAATGATTATATTATAATAGTATTCAACCATTGAAAGTGCGATTCAACTATATACAGGTCACTGTAATATTATAAGAATAGGTATACCAATACGGCCATACGGGACACGGGTACTTATTTAAAGGTAATTATATTATATTATATTATATATAGTAGGGGTGTGGTATAGGTAAGCTTGAAGCTAATATGCAATAAGCAGAAAAGCTATACACCTTAAACCATGCATCAAGATATACTATAGGTATATCTTAACTCGTGCACATAAACATAAACACATAAGACATAAACACATTTCTTCCCCTATAACTATGACCAATTACGATAAATTCGTACTTGGTACATACCTACATAGTACACAATGACAATGTCAATTATATTTTATCATATTTTATAATATTATAATAATTTATTTATTATTTTACACATTATTTTTTTTTCGTAACGATTTGGGTTCTAATTACGAGCTTAAGGGGGGCTAAAAATAAGTACGGAGGGCTAAGTCCCCTTAGTTACGCCGATGGTAGTACTACAGATTAAATGGAAAATTTAATAGAAGGGAACTTAATATTCCCTATTCCCAAAACCATGGACGCAGGACTCGGACCAAACGCAGACACCACCTATTAAATTTTATTTTTTTATTAACGATTTAATTTAAATATTATAATTAAAAATATATATTAGAAAAATAATTGTCATTATTATAACATCAACAACTAATGAGTAATGCCTGTTGTAGCGGATGTTTTTTTTAGATCAATAATAAAAAAAAAACTTATTTGAAAAAAAAAAATTTATTTAAATACTAAAAAAAAATAAAATAAATAAATACCACAATTTTAAAATTCATGACATTTTCAAACATTAATTTATTATACGTATTTGCAATAATAATACGTCATAACAACTGTCGCTAGCCACCGATAACATCATTCATCATTATATTTTGATGGTACCTCGGGTTAAAAATTTATTTTACGACACTCATGCGCGTTTTTAGATTATATTGCCTATACTTAACTCCTTATAAACGGTCGATATAGAATCCACTTAAGGATTAAATATCATTAGATTTTCATTAGACGTATATATAACCACGTAGGTAAGTAATAAGGATCAAGACGTCTGCTACACGCAGGCTCCTTTTTTTTCTTTTAAGAAAGTATACTTATTGCACAATTCCCTATTAGAACTAATAATGTATCAATTGATATAATTAAATAATATTAACAATGAATAAAATTCCTAAAACGAAAATAATATACATATTATATAATTATATACAACGGCTGTAGGTTTAGCCGACATAACCCGCATCCATACTACACATTTATTTTAGTTGTTTACGTTGTCAGGAATCGAATAAGACGTCAAGACGCCTCGCCTGTTGGGATTTACGCCCAAGTTCTCCCAGTTGATCCACGAAAGTCTGGCTGTTAGATCTGTGGGAATAACAAAACAATTTAAAATTCATCATACACGTATGTATCAAAGGTATAGCTAGGTACTTATTACAATAAAAGGTAAAATCGCTAATCAGGGCAACTAATATTAGGATATAATATAAGTAAAATAAAATATTAATATAATTTTTTTGTTTACTATAAGACGTAACAATAATATATTTTGTACAATTGGGAACTTTAAAGTATGAATCACATTCAAATTATGGTTTGAGTAATTCCGACTTTAAAATGATAAATTTAACCCAATCTAGGACGTTTCCCCCCGTGCCTCCCCCCACGATTCATTAGACCTCCCCACCAAACGAGACAATTTCTCCTCGGACAAAAAATTAACAGTAAAAATATTAAACAATAATATACAATGGAAATAAATGAATGTACTGTTTACTAGATTTTTTGTTAAATAATTTTTAAATTAATGTACAAAATATATAATTCAATAATACTTTTACGTATAACTTTGGTTTATCAATCATTGTTCATTACATACCCATTCAATTGGATAATAAATCCATAACGGGAGTGATGATAGTCGATAGAAGCCGTCAAGCCGATATAACGATCGTAGATTTCGGGTAATACCAAAGATACCATTTTCCAACCTACTATTTTGTGTAAAAAAAATATACATTCACCTGGGGGATGGGGGGGGATGTCTCAGTTCAGCGGGAAACGTCCAGTACCTACATTTAAAATCCGCGGGGGGGGGGGGGGCGGGAGGAACGTCCAAGTATCAACCTAACCTAACCTTACTAGGTAGGGAGTATATACCTAACGGCATTACCGGTGTTCCGCCTCGGAGGTTTATCCGATATCGTAACGACAGTTGTGACCGTTTTGAATACCCCATGGTAATGTTTATCGTAATAATATTATAGACACTTACCACTGGTGTTCCATTCGGCACGTTCGGGCGTCCGCTCGCCGCTCAGACATCGCTGGACGTAAGTGAGCGGGTCGCAGTCGGCCGACAGAACTTCGCGCAACAGCGCGATGTAAGCGATCGCCAGACGGAGCGTGTCGATCTTGCTGAGTCGCTTCTCGTACGGGAACGTGGGCACGTGTCCGCGGAGCTCGTCGAACGCCGAGTTGATGCTGCTAAACACCAAACGATTCATTATAATAACATGTTGTGACGGATGCGAACGCGGTCGGTGTACGATAAATGACGACGGACACTCGACGAAGTGCACCTATACTGCAGGTTAGTGTTGTATAGGTGTTAAGTTTTTTTCCCAAAAAATTAATCTTTTTGACGTATTTTTTCACCCCTTAAAATGCAAGAAATACTCTCGGGAGATCGTGTGACGAAACGACATAGGCATGCAATAATATTACCTAGTGGGTCAGTCGTTCGAGGACAAAATATGTGCAACGCCAAACGCGGCAACTATAATATATTAGTAAGCGATTTCAATCCTATAAAATGAGTATAAACTATTACTATTGATAATAATATTTGGGTACTTTTAAGGTAAAATTTAAGTGTATTTAATTAATATTAATACGTGCAACGGTCTAGGTACTACATGTCCAAATTTCGACATTATAGAATGACGTATAGGTAGGTAGTCTTAAAAAATTGGAAATCGATTAACACTGACACCTAACGGCTTGACTGTTGTATAAATAATTGCTCATTAGAACCACGTCTTTAAAGAATGAAGTGCCCGGTTTGGGGCGGTGTAAACATTTTAGAAATTTATGAATTTTTTACGTTATGAACGTACAATTATGTGTAGGTAAAAGGTATAGGTATAATATATAATATACGACATATGGATAATTTTATCTTAACTGTGGCTATTCGAACGACGAACACAATAGAATTAGGTTTTTGATATCTTACTGATTTATAATTTTGGACGGCTTGGTTTTTAGTCATTACCATGATTGAAATATACAGGTTATGGCATATTGACTTGGATTGTTATCATCAGAAATAAAATGGCTGCTGTAAAGGGATATCACAAATATACATTTTTCTTATCATCAAAAACACGCTGACCAAAGCTAACAAATTCGAAATTCACGCGCATGTATTCTTGATTATCATTGGTTTCCTTTACTGTGCCATTTTTGTTTTTATCATCAAATATTTGATCTAGAAGGGGTAAAAATGCAATAACCTTGTATATTTCAACCATGGTCATTACCTAGTGGCTAGTGAGTAGTGATGTTACATGGCTCATTCGCGTAATTCACATAATATGTGGTACACAAAGATATAATCTTAGGATCTCTGGCTCCGACCAGTCTGACCTATATACCTACAACCTACCTATTATTATGTCAATATATATATATATCAATACAACATATCTTACCTACACAGTATATACCTATACGTCCTACATCACACAATCTACATTATACACCTGTCTATATACCGTATAGGTAGCTCGAGTTCTAAAATTCGTAAATATTCGTTTAAGCTCGTGTCGGCTAAAAGGTCCCCGTTTCTCGACCGGGTCGCTTAAATAATAAAATGATCGGATGCGACCCGCCCGAGCGTTTGTTTTCGCGCGCGTGCGCCGTGTCAGGGTCTTACATTTTGACCGGCGTGGGCCTATCCGCTGCCCGAGTCGGCGCCAGGTCTGACCTCAACATTCGTCTACGTTCCCGTATGTTGGCCGCTTGCCTCTGCACCCTGTACCCGCCACCTCCACCGCCTCCACCTCCGACGCCGCCCGCGCCTTGTGCGTCCACAATCGCCGCCACCGCCATTCCCGCCGGGGCGTTGTGATGATGGTGATGATGATTATGACCGTTTCCGTTGCCGTTATGGTGATGGTGATGGTGGTGACCATGGTGATGGTGGTGATGATGATGTCCCGCGTTCCCATTACCGTGGTTACCGCTACCCGCACCGTAGTAACCGTCCGCCGCCGCTGCCGCCGCCGCCGCCACCATATTGTGCCGACCCATCGAACCGGCCGACGACAAGTCAGCGCCTGATCGCAAAAAAAAAATTATTATAATAACTTATAACTTATAATCCAACAAATTTCTAATTTTCATAAGGATAGGAAACGAAGTAAACAAAAATACTGATACAGAAATTGTAGGTCGCCGGACTATATTTTGAAACTTTCAGATCATTGATGAATTATTTCCTTTATAACCGGTAATATAAACACGTAGGTATTTTATTGAGTTTATTTAATGCATTTAAAAGTGTTATCATATACTATCAAAATTTGTTTTCAAAAAATGCCTGTTAAATAATAAACAAAATTAAATCACATATTGTATATACTTCAGAAATAGATAAGTCAGTAGAGTTCCCTTCACTCAGTTCACTTTGCTCTGAATATAAGACGAAGTGTAAAAGTATAAATATTTGAATTTTAAAAATCTTCTATTTCATTTGCTATAACACGTTGTGTAAAGGGCAACAATTAAAATAAACAAAAATACTGTTATGATGATCCAATTCCTTTATACTTCCAACTTCCAAGTCTTAAACTAATAGTTAAGTAGGTACCTATACCTCACTGTACCTGTTATATTATAATATTATAATATTCAGTATATATTAGGTATATTTATTAGTTATTACTTATTTCACACTTTATGATTACGTATTAAGTATAAAATGTTGCTTACCCCATGTTTTATTTATTTTAATATAATGCATTTTGTTACAAATAATATAGATTAGGTACCCATCCCTATAAAATTATTGAGTAAACTTATTATTGGTAATAATAACTAATAACAGATATAGCTATCGATTTGTCAACCAACTCAACCAAAATATATTTGTATATATCTATTTACTAGCGATTTAAAATCAACATAGAAAATGTACGTTCAGCAGAACCAACCTTGTGTTGTTAGTTTTAGTTTTGGAATGAATTGACCTATAATCAAACATTCAAACTTAAAATTAAGAACATTTTACCTGTGTTTGTACTTTGGGTATGCTGCGATATATTTCAATTTTAATTAGAGATATATGAAAATTTTTAAATTGTAATATCTTGGGATCTTATATACATACTCATAATTTGCATTCAAATTTAAATATAATGTTCTTAACTGTAAGTTTGATAATAGGTTAATTTGCTTTAAAATACTAAAGCTAACAACACAAGGTCCGTTCTTCTTGGCACAGATTTGCAATGTTTGAGCTGCGCCGCGGCTCAAAGTGAGAAAACAAACAGCTAATGCTCTGACAAATAACTATGTTTTTACTGTCAACTATACTCAGATGTACAAGAAACACTACTACAGTTGACTAAATCAATTAGTTTTCTCCATAATATTTATTAATTGATGATTTTTTTTAAAATTTAATTTAAATTGTTTACTGCTGCAGTTTTACAGTAGGTATTATTTTTTTTAATTTAATAAATTTCTTTACAAGGTATAAATACATAATGTAAATATATACAGATATAAAGAATATATCTACTCCTGTAAGCCTTGGCTTGTGATGGAGGAGAACGTAAACGAGTAATCGTATATAAATTATAAGAAAAATAAAATTAAAATTATACACAAATATCAAAGAACAATCTAAGAACACGATTAAAATAAAAATACTTTACAAATTTAATGTATAAGAATAACAAAGATCGTTAAATGCGGATTTCCCTAAGGAATATTTAATTCAGAAAAAAGCTTTTTGGTAAAGTTGGAAACTGCTTTAGGTTGGACCTAAATAATCTACAAAAGATTGCTCAAAAGATTTTTAGTGTATCTCACAGGTAAGTTATAATCTCTTAGTTCTGTGGACTTAAAAAAATCAACTGTATTGGTATTGTTCCAAATAATTGTTTTAATTGTTAAAAGTAATGCAGTTTTTTATATAATATAATAGTTTAGCTGGATGAACACCTAGAAGCTTATTATTTTGTTTCGTTGAACCTTTTAAGGATTTATTTTTTTATTTTTTATTAGATAAAGATAGAGTAGGTATTTACAATCTGTAGTATTTATATACAACAATTAGTAAATTTGATAGCAAAAAAAAATTTGATGGTACAAAACATGAATGGCGCGAGGAGGGAGGCACACCAGTGTGGATACCTTCTTCTAAGGATTTATACCAAAAATTATTCTTGCTACGCTATTTTGATTCACTTGTGGTGGATTTAAATAATTATCTTTCACAACTCCCAATACTAAGAGCCCATACTGAAAAATGGATTGATAGAAGGAAAAATAAATCATACGCATCGTATTCACCGGTAACAGATCTCTAAGTTTTATGAATTTATGGATTGTGGAATGGTATAGGTACACGTCATATAAATGTGTAATGTAATTACAATTGTAATCATTTTACATATATATGTGTATCATTATTATATATTATTAAGACTATCATGCACCCGGAGACCATGGGTAACGACAAATGATACCTACGCTCAAAATTAGCATTGAACTTAACAATTAGGTATATAATTTTTTTTAGTATTATACTCACAATAACACCAGACATGCACCAGAGCTCCATATCATAATATATACCTACAGCCGTATTTCCCTTGCAGGCGTAATGCGCACCTATATAAATGTGAAACCTAGCTCAAAAATTCGATAAGTGATAGCTGTAGAAACTCAACATCAGAGTTAAATTTACCGACTCTTGTTTTTTTTTTTTGCATACATTTCTAAACTTATAATGAGAGGGAGTCAAGAAATCATATACGGGTAGTAAGACAATACCCTTGCGCCAAATTGATGATCAAAGGGCCGAAAATATTGCGGAATGTATAATGTTATATAAGTAGGGTTCTTAACAATAAGATATATGATATATCCATTTTTTTTTCCAAAACAATATGAGGACGACAATAGATCTAGTACAACAAAAGATAATTATATATACGAACACGAGTATGCTTAGTACGCACTTCTAAGTTTAGTTTTTTATTAAACGTCACCGATGATGATGTATAGGTACGTTTGGCTGTACATATACGAGTATAAAGTAACTGAACAAATGACATTGCGCGAGCAATATGGTTAAATGTGTTTACTACTAATTGAAACCTGTAATAAAGAATTCGTCGATCGTTAATGATCATATAGGTATATCGAGTGTATACCACACGGCCTATTAAGGGTTACTTAATTTACAGTGTGTTTAACAATTTGTCTGTTTTTTTTTTATTTGCTTTTTATGTTTGCGGAAATTTTAATAGGATTGATCACCCATATTTTCTAAGCAAATTGTAACGATTATCTCGTCTATCTAATTATCTTTATTGAAACCATAATATAGCGTGTATGAAAGTTTACCTTGTCTTATCGAAGTCCCCACGAAACTGTGGTGGACAGAGCGGTAAGTGCAGCTGGGTTGGCTCGAATCTTCTCCGTCACTGCAACTGTCGTCATCCTGTTGCTGTTGCGTTTGACAAGAGTCATTGGCCAACATGAAATCTTGGGTGAAAGTCGAAGTCTTACTGAAATCGAAAACAACAACAACTATTAGAGTGGTGTCCTGCAGGATATTCTGTTAACGAATACTATCCCGTTGGTATACTGGGTGGTAAATTACGAGGAGATATATTATATGAGCTACATGTTACACCACAGAACGAAAAATACAAACAAACCTATTATTAAATAGGTAGGTATTCAACGAGTAAAAATTAATTAAACAGTTGATGTGTGTTCTCGACGGCCGTTATAGGCGTTATAGATTATAGACCGATATTCGACAGTACGATTTAAATTTGGTTATAGTCATGCAAAAATAGATAGTTTTTAAGATATTTAGAAAAACCTTAAGTCGAATTTTCAAACTGAGTTCAAATCCAATACTTTGGATATCAAACATTTTAATCACCTATTAAAATATTTTAGTTTTGTGAGGTAAAAATTAAAATGTCCAGTAGTTTTCAAAAGCGTCGGGAAAAACCAAAAAAAAATTAAGAAAAACGAGCATTTTTATGATGCAAAACCAGTTTTTGACAAAACCAATTTTAGATTTTGTTGTCTAATAAGTAAAAAGTAATAACCATAGATACTTTAAATTTTCACAAAATGTTTATGTGACAATATTTTAATTGTGGATTAGGCCCACCGAGTACTGGGAATACCACTATGAAAAAACTCAACTTTATATTTTATAAAAGCTGTTAGCGTAAACTGTAGCTATATTGATTGATATTGAACATACAATTAGGTGTAGGTGCACTACTTAATTTTACTAAATCATAAGTAATATATAACTATTTAGGTATTTCTCCATTTTGTTTTTGTCGATATTTGTACTAAACATCTAAATAAAATGTATTAGGCAGCAGAGATCTATTTCAGGAGGATACACATAAGAAAGCGCTCATTCCAGGTGGAAATTTTGTATAGGGGTGCCACTTTTTTTTATATGGGCTTACTATTGCGTTGTTATACCGAAAGTATAAATATTAATGTTAGGTAAAATGTAACATACTTTTTAAACTACAATTAAGTACTAATTATACTATTGCTTATTGAAAAGAAAATTTGTTATAGGTGATAAATTAGTTTTATTTTTTTTCTATTTAACTATAAATTTTACATTATATCATTATACTATTTATACTGAATAAATCTCTTGTACTAAGAATAAATTATAATATACTCTAATATGGTATCTACATTTAGATACATATTAGATTCTGAGAGGAGCGAGGAAGCTATTGGTTTTGTAATGGTGTTTATTTTTTATTTTATTTTTTTATTTATCCTGTATACAAATTTTCTACTAGAAGGAGTACTTCGATTTCAACATATAGAACCTTATCTTTTAGGAAATTGGATCAAGATGGTACTTTAAAAAGGTCATTTTTCGATTTTACCAATAGTTATTTAATGCCACGGGAAAAACTACCGACAAATTACGAAAAACCACTAAAAATGGGATTTTAATTCAACGATTCGTTTATAGCAATGAATAAAAAATAATAATGTTATAATATATTAATTCAACTTACAGGCTATAATAAATAATAACAATATAAAAACTCCAGACTGACAAACAGTCTTCACTCAGAATCGTTTTTCTTATGCAATGATATTATATCATTGAATTCAAGTTTATAATAGGTACTGCAATTCATTATACATTGACCCACTTGTGACCTACTGTTTTTACTATCTATTTTATCTATAATATTTATATAGCTTAACGTGATGTTGATGTGTCAATATTTTGCTTATATTATAGTAATATAGTCGATCATAATATTATAAGTCGTAATATGAATAAAAAACCATGGATTATCAGCACTTAGCTTACGCATTTCCCACCACGATTTCTGATTAATATCACTATACATAAGCTAACATGATTTTAGTGAGCTAATTTCAATCACATTACTTAAAATATATAACATTTAATTATTTTATACTACAGGTTAGAATGACATATAAGTATATAACTTATATTAATATACCTTCTCTACTATAAGCATTTAATATTTTTTGTATAAAACATCAACTAAATAATTCGACTTTTTTTAACTCGACCGCTATTATAAATATAAAATTCAATAAGTTTACAATGAAATCCGTAATCATGTTATTTACTTATATATATATACTTACTTATAACAGAGTGACGGCGATGAGGATGAAGAATCGGCTTTAGTGGTCACGACGTGACCTCCACTTCTGAGCAAATCGGGTGATTGTTGCTGGTGCTGTTGTTGTTGCTGGTGATGATGGTGAAAACCGTAAATGTTGTGCATGTCCGGTGTCGGCGCCATCGAATGGTTCATAATAATAACAGTATTACGGTTGATAGGTAAGTCTTATTAATCGCAATATTATGGGAAAACATTAAAACAAAATAATTTCCAAGTGAACAATTTCGAGTGAGGTTGTTTATTTTCTATTGCAAATCTGCCCGGTTTTTGGCGAGCGAGATCCAACGACTGACTGATCGTCAATCGGCGAAGGAGACCTATTTAAAACCGATGCTCGTCCCTTTGCGCTTGGAGCTCACCCCATTTGGGCGGAGCCAATGCGTTTCACGGGAAAATGGCGGACCATCCTTCCGCTGAATTAATCGTGTCTGTATCTGAAAGCCTGACTGCTGCAGGTTATTTCTTTCGATCTCTGTGCTTAATTTATAGTCGGATGGCAGAACAAAAAAAAACTAGTTTTTCCAAATAATTAACAAATTAAAACAAGTGATGAAGAAAAACGTAATCGCATATTCTCGTACAAGGAATAATGCTTTGTGAATCTCGTAATTGCAGATTTTTAAATGTGCCCATATTTTATGGAAGTAATGTTAAACAATATTGGTTGTTAATCGTCATACAGGTAAGAACAAAAAGAAAATATGGCACATTTATGTTATACAAAAATCCATACGCCATACGGCATAATAAATTGGAGTTATTTATAGTTTTCTTCTTATCATAATGATACTACAAATAATTGTAAATGTTCAATAAAAATTTTTCTGGTACCGCGTAATATAAAAATTAATAATAAATTAATATTTTTTAGAAAAAAGGTTTTATGACGTAATTAGTAAATGGCATTCAATACCATAATATTGCATAAAGTGATTGATATGCGTATGCCAGAAGTTCAAAAAAAGACAACATGAAACACTTTTAAAACATTCCTATACGTGGTATAAAAATTGTATGATCACTGTATATAAATACTAAATAATAATGATGATTACAAACAATTGTCTAATACATTAATATTACGATTGACGATTTTCAAATCCTTAATTAATTTAAATATTTAAAAAACCGTAAGATTAATAGCATAATATATTGTTCAATGGGAGTATAACCATAGGCGCACATTGGGTGTGAATTTAGGGGGTGCTGGGATAATTTATGGTTCACAAATCCGTGGGGGGCTTTGCCCCCCACACCCCCCTAATCCTAATTTTTCTGCATTGCATTAGATTTAATTTATATGGTGTATACAATAATTATTAATAATTTCTAAAGTGCAATGTATCAAATAGTCTGTATGATTGTAAAGAAAACGCTAGGTACACCCACATGTGTTGTCTCCGTATTACAGACGTAGGTACAACATAGGCAAAACTGTTTTGCACGGGTATAAAAAACATTCAGGCTCTACTCTAAGCTAAGAAACTAAATGTTCACACTATAAAAATGAGAAAATTTACTCTGTAACTTTGTTTTTATATTTCTGATATCAAAACCAAAATAAAAGTTATTTAAGTTTGATAAACAAAAAAAGGTATACATGACGTGTACAGTAGGGTACAAGTGGGTCACTGTATAATCGATGGTATTAAATTTGAATTCAATGATATACTAACATCATTGTATAAGAAAAACGATTCTGAGCAAAGACGGTTAGTCAGCCTATGATATTACTAAGTATATTTGATGATACTAAGGTGAATAAAGCAATTTATATATAACCTATTTACGTAGAATCTTGTTTTAAATTTTCAATCATTAGCTATAAAAGTTGAACATTTTATAAATTTTTAACTATAAAATGTGATAAATTTTGTCAAAATTGGAATTTTAAATAATTATAAAAAAAAAATTGTGCCTATGTATTTTCAATATTTTTCAAGTGTTATTGTAACAATATATCAGGAGCTTTGCATTAAATTTTCAAGCTTTTTTACCATTCAAATAAAATTTTATTGATATGAATAGAAAAAAAAATTAAAAAAATTGAAAACTGAAAATGTCCGTAAATAGCTCAAAAAGAATCAAAATATTTTCAAAACTATATGGTGTATAGGAAATGCTAATATAAAAATTTAGTAACATTTTCAAGTATCTACAGTCATTCGTTTTTTAATTACAACAAAATTAGAAAATCGTTACATGAGAAATCGAGTGAATATCAAATGTTGTAAAAATATGAATTTCAAACGTTCATAAAAATTTAATTTGAGACTCTTGTATACATTTTATTTTTGATAAAGGTAGACAAACTTATGAGGAATCTTGCATTACATTTTCATATCTTAGATTTAAAAAGAAAAATTTTTATGAATTTCTAACTCGAAATAATTTTCAAATTTTCGTCATTTTCACGTATTTTGTCAATATTTGGAATTTAAATGCTTATAACAAAAAACTGTGACTAAGGATTTTTAATATTTTTCATTCTGTCTTGTTTTCAAAAACAATATATTAGGAGCCTTCTATTAAATGTTTAAGCTTTTATACCCAACAAATAAAATGTTATTGATACTTAAAGAAAAAAAAAACTAAAAAAAATGGAAACTAAAAATGTCCGTAAAAAGCTCAAAATAACTCAAAATATTTAGAAAATTTTATCATGTATAGAAAATGGAAATATAAATAACCAGTGAAAATTTCATATATCTACGGCCATTTGTTTTAAAGTTACACCAAAAACCAAAATCAATTTTCTCGAAAACAGATTTTACGTAAAAATTCCCATTTTTCCTTAATTTTTCTTTTGTTTTTCACGGCGCTTTTGAAAACTACTGTGAAATTTTTGCTTTTGACCCCCCCAAAGTACCAACTAGATTCACTTTCCTATCAGAAAAGATACTGTTGAAGAAAATCCAAGCACTTTTACTGTCCTAAAAGATGATGACAGACAAAAAAAAAAAAAAATGAATTCGTGAATTCGTAAACAGTTGTCAATATTTGTAATGAAAAGAAAAATTCCGAACCAATAAACCACGATAGTTTATAAATGATTGGTGAAATACTGAAATAAACTGAGGGTGCTAGTTGCTAGTTTGAAGCTTGGGGGTGCTAAGCACCCCCAAGCTCCCCCCTATGTGCGCCTATGAGTATAACGGGCATAAATATAGATTATAGGCGTATATTTTTTTAGTTTTAGGGACAAGTATACTTGTATACAACACAACTGAAAAATCGTTGACTACATTCGTTTAAATTGCCACAAAAAAAATTAAAAATTTCAAACCACTCACATTTATTTTTTCACCATAACTTTTTGTCCTTTCACCTGGTAGACGCTGCTGGTTCTTCAATATACCTAACTTGAGTTTAACTCTAAGTGTTAACGATGTGAAACAAATACAGTACCTATTTACATTTGATTATTATAATGTATATTATAATCATTGACATAATACATTACATCTCTATCCCAGACGCATGTCAGCATTTGTCAACTTACATTCGTTCTGTATCATCACAGAGTCCCATCATGTAGGTATAACTATTTTTGATTACATTAGTACTTCACAATAAATTGTGTAACAATAATCTTCCGGCCTGCTACATATAGGTGTGTCAAGGTAGTCTCCAAGTTTCATCGCTTGCTCTTGCTCTATGTATAAATTGCTACCATGATGTGTTATGCTGTATTTAAAGTAAAATATATTATAATATTAACATTTTATTTCAATTAGGTATTATTGACATCAAAATCGTCTCGTTTTACCCCGTTTAGTACCTACCTATAATACTAATCTGTCACTGATTCATCGCATCTGGGATAGACAAGGTTTTTTATAGGTATATTACCACGTAAAATAGGCATTGACTTACCTAGCTGATCGATGGACTTTGCGTATAGATTCATGTTGGAAAATTATGTTGGTATCGAACTACCCACTCATAAATTATTGACAAATACTTCAGGTGCGATACTTATGCATATGTTATAAAGAATATTTAATTGTTTCTTGGAAATGTTTAAACATTAAACATACTAGCCGATTAATAATTGATTTTCTGGCTAGAGATTTAAGAAAACCTATGTTATCGAACTTCAACTGTCTAAATCGAAATTGCTGTGGCAATACATGCAGTGCCGTAAAAACCGGGTGTGCAAAGTGTGTACCGCACACAGGCCTCGGGCCTCATAATATCGAAGGGCCTCAAAAGATCCAAATACTAATATTAAACTAATATAAAATTATTAAAATATATAAATTATTTATTATTGATTTGGAAACGAAACCAATGTTTCAAACCAATTGAGAGGAACGAACAAATGTATTGATTTTACAAGATGTGTATAATTTTTTTCATTTCTGTCGGTCATCAACAATGGGTAGTAAAAATATTCCGAATTTCGAGATCAGCATTTTTTCTGTTAGAAAAGTGAATCTAGTTGGTACTTTTTGGATATCAAAACCGAAATTTTTAGTTTTAGATATTAAAAAGTGTCAATAAAAAAAAAAATTGTCATTTTTACCTAAAAATTTTATTTTTTGGTGTAACTCGAAAACTAATAACCGTAGACCATTGAAGTTTTCATCAAATATTTATATTAATATTTTCAATAAATTACATTTTGGACAATTTTTACTTTTTTGAGTTAGTTATAGCCTTGAGAAATTGTTTTAAAATTATAGATTATTTTAAATTAAACATTTTTTTTTGTTTAAGCCCGAATTTTTGTCTGCTGACTTTAAAAATTGCAAAAAAAGTTTTTGAGGTGTGTATTGAAAAAGATAATAAGGGGCCTCAATATTTTGGTTTTGCACACAGGCCCCAAGTAGCCTAGTTACGGCACTGAGTACAGTAATAGATATCTGTTACAAGATTTGTTCAGTTTAGAATATTATTACAACTAAAGTCAATATTTTATTATATTGTAAAAATTGACTTACACACTCGACAATACGAAAAAAGCAACAATAGTTTTTTGTGTTCACAAATTTATTTTTAATTATCGAACAAAAACAATATAACATTTTTTAATTTTGAATATAATTTCAAAAACGGAAACAATTTTGGAAACGGTTGCCGTTATATTATTATACAATTTTGTATGTTCAAAAAAAAGTTAGAACAAA